GGCCATGTGTGTGGGCAGAAGCAAGTCAATGGTTGACATATAGTTCTGAACACACTTGGCCAGGATGACAACACAGATCATCTGATACTCATACTCTCAATTTTTCAACTGACATAAACCGCGACACTCTAGGTGGAAAGGACCTTCAGAACATTTGGGAAAATTCTTGTCTAGCATGCATTAAAAGCTTGTCTAAAGTTATAGGAGCTTTTAAAATCTGAATCACAAACTAAGTAACTATATTTTTCCAAGAGGATCTTTCTTTCTCCTTCCAGAATAAAGAATCTCACCTTTACAAAGTTAAAAAAGCCACAGTAGTGGAATTTGAAAAAAAAAGTATTGTCTGTGGCATATTTCAAATCCAAGGCTACTCCTTTGGCCTTGGTAAATTTCGCCTCCCTGCAATGTATTGTGCAAAGCCCTCCAAACCAATTTGGAACACAGAGGAGAGTCTTGCCTGAGGATCAAGTAAGCATTATAGCAATCATATTTTGTTAACCAATTTTTTGCTTATTCAAAGATGTAAGGATGTCATTTTCTCCAAATAGTTGAAGTTTTATAAGCTTCTTAAATCTGTATTTCTTAGTATTTGCCTGAAAAAAGACATGCTTACTTTTTTTTTTTAACATAATAGAATTAAGAATCCCACCTTAAGCATTTAGAATCTCATCAAGTTATGGTATCCTTTCAGGATAAACTCATACAATACATGGCTGTTTTCTTTCCACTTATCTCATTGAAAACTTAATGTTTCTTTCATGACAAAGGGTTTTAGCATTTCCCTTTGTAATTAAAAAAATATTAATTTTCTTTATTAAGCACTGACTATAGTTTGAGGTTAATGCTCTTCAAACAAATAGAGTATATTTTGGTCATTTAGTTTTCTTTTTGTCATTACTAGTTTCATTAATAGTCAGTAGGAAAAAATCTTATGACTTAGTATAGTGTGGACTGCTAGGTCTTACTAGAAATTAACCTATACATGGAATATCTTAGAGAAATCTATAAAAAATGAAATTTGTAAGAAGCATGGAGGAAGGAGAATAAATGATTTTTACCTTAGGAGCAGAGATGAGAGTACATGGGGATAAGGGAAGGGGAAATAAGTTGAAGGGGCTAGAAATCCAGTAATGGTACAGGTGGGGAGATACATAAAAAATAAAAATAAACATCCGACTCCTCTCACAAATTCTAGAGGAGCACTGTAGAATTGGAATACGACCAAGAGAAGACACTGTAGAATTGGAATACGACCAAGTAGTAAGATAAAATTCTACTCACAGATATGGTTTTCAAAATTGTAATGCAACATAAGTATAATATATTACCTAATAAATGTGGATGACTGAAGAGACAGTTGTGGTAGAGCAGAAAGAAAACTAAACATATAGCCCAGTTTGTAAGATAATACGTCAAAGTACCACTGTACACTTTCAAGGAGTAGGTATATATTAGCTATAATTACTTGTGGTACTGATCTTAAAGATATATAAGTATTTAATCAGAACCAGTTTTGTTTGGGTTTTTTGGTTGGCTTTTTTTTTTTGGTCTTTGTGGTACTGGAGACCGTACCCAGGGCCTTACAAATGCAAATACAAGGTAAGTACTCTACCACTGAGCTACACACACAGCCCCTCAAACTGTTTAATGACAGTAACTTTAAAGCTAAGTTTCTCAGTCTCAGCTCTACTGATATTTTAGGCCAATAATAATTTGCTGTGGGAGGCTCAGCAGCATCCTTAACATTTACCCAATAGGGGCCAGTAGAACCACCCAAGTTAGTGACAAATGAGAAATGCTGCTGATCACTGCCAAACTGCCCTTGGCTGAGAACCACTGCTTTAAAGCACTGGGAAAAAAATCTAGAAATTATATTTATGGCTCTCCCAGAAAACTGAGGATGAGAGACAGCCAAGATGAACAAGAGCTGAGATGTCCATCGTAGCAGCCAACTGTCACATATGCCTACTGTGCATGTGGCTAGTCAGGACTGCAGTGTGCTGTTAGTGTAAGATACACAATAAATTTCAAAGACTTAGTTACAAAAAAGAACGCAAAATATTTCATAAGTTTTTCATACTGATTATATGTCCAAATGATAATATTTTGGCTATAGCAGGTTCAAATCAAATACATTATTAAAAATTAAATTCATCTATTTCATTTTATTTTTTAAAAAATGTGGTTACTAGAAAAGCTATAATTATATATGTGGCTTGTGTAATCGTTCTATTGAACAGTGCTGAATTGAGGCAAAAGAAAAAAAAAAAGCTTCCTCCTTCATGCATGCTATCCATTCCTGGCAAGCTTTGATTGAAGAAATGAAACACAAAAGAGCTACCTTCAGTTTTCTCTTTACATTTTCGGTATGATGATACCTAGTCTCACTGCTTCCATGAAATTACTACTTTTAGATAATCAATCTCCAAACTGGACCTGCAAACCTACATGTCCAACTATCACACTAACAATCCATTGTGGCTCTCCTAGAAAGCTCAAACTTAAAAGAGCCTCACTCCCATAAAAACTCCTCTTCCACAAGTCTTCATTTTAGTAAATGGTATTATTGATGTGAACACTGAAGCCCAGAAACTTGGAAGTCATCCATGAGTTCCCTCTTTTCCATCCCACCTGCAATCTCTCACAAATCCTCTTCATCTACTTCCTGAATATTTCTGGAATCCCACTGACTAGGGCAGGTCATCATGATCTCTCCCTGAATCAACTGCCCCTTCCCCTTTATCCTCTTATTACACCTGCCCTTCCTTCTAGAATAATATACTATATAAATAATGTAGTGTAGCTTTCCTTATTCATTGTTGTAATTCCAGTTCATTGACTCATGAATTAATGACTATGAATGAATGAAAAGGAGTACAAAGTAACTTGCTAAGAGGCTGGACTACAAGAATAATGGCTGCATTAGAATATGAGGCCCGGGAGAGCATCAGTGCTTATGTCCAAATGCCAATGCTTATGTGCTGACCCAAGTCTTAGGATTCTAGAAATGGGGGGAAAATAGTTGGGAACCATGTGCTCTGCACTCCCATCCTTAACAGATTTAGTTATCATACTGAAACTCAAATCAAAGTCTTTCTGGGTCAGGAAAGAGCTGCTGAAGGTACCTTGTCCAATACTCCAGTCCTGCACCAATCTGATGCCCAACAATTTCCGTCTCCAAAGCCCTATCTGCAGATTATCTATAGTTTCACAATTGCACAGTGAAAAACAGCTAAAATGAATACAATTATGATGAAATGTACTACTTCTATAAGTAAGTCATTCTCCAATAACAAGATCAAAGCAAGTAGTCTCCTTTCCTTGACCCCCTTTCCTGCCTAAGCCATTCTTCTTCATTTCCTAGTCCATCACCGGTTTGAAGGGAGGTTGGGATAAACTGTGGCAGCATCTATCCTAACCAGTAAGTTATGGTTGTTAATTTGGAAGTTTAAAGACAGTCAAGATTTTTACATATCTTAGTGGTGCTTAATGTATTCCAGGTCTAAAGTATAGAAGAACTTGTAAAAGGCTTTCCAGCTGGGGCTGGGGAAGTGGCTCAGTAGTAGAATGCTCGCCTAGCATGCATGGGGCACTGGGTTCAATCCTTGGCACCACATAAAAATAAAATAAAGATATGTGTCCACCTAAAATTAGAAAAAAAAAAAAAAGACTTTCCAGCAATATGTGTATTTTCAGAAGAACATGTAACACAAAGGGAAAACTAAACCCGTGATTTCATTCATCTTTCACCTACTGTTCTCCTGTAAGTGAAAGTGCAGTGTGTGGGAGGATGGAGTATGATGAAGTATGATGCACCAGTCAGGGGTTAGGAAAGGATAGCATGTCAAAGCCAGGGTCAACCATAAGTCCAAGTGTATCATGGAAGGCTACACTTGTGTAGCTAATTTTTAAAAAACTATCTTACCTAGAAATAATATAAAAGACAATTCTTTTGTAAGATGACGAAAAGAGAATAGGTCTTTATGACTAAAGAAATGTTAGGAAAGATAAATTTTTACTTGGGAGTGTAAGGCAGAAGGATCAAAAGTTCAAGGTCTGCCTTGGCAATTTGGTGAGACTCTGTCTCAAAATAAAAAGTAAAATAAAAACAAGGGTAAAAATTGTTTTTTCTTCATTATTTTCCTTTTGTAGCTCAAAAGAGAAAACAAGAATAATTACCAGGTTCCCGCCACTTTAGGCAGAGAGATAAAGAGATTTAGTAATAGTGTTTTTCTAGACTAGAGATACTGTTTCTAGAAATGACTATTGAAGAATGCTAGAGAACTTATCAAAGACCATTTCCCCTCTTGATATCTTGTGGTGAATCTTCTCCTTAACAAAGTTCACTATCTCAGCAAACACATCTGTTTTTATTAACATGAGAGTGTAACAAAAGAGACTAGTGGACTTAGAAAAAAACAAACCAAAGATGCACTCCCCATTGTGCCACTTATGAGACCATAGGTGAATCACCAATCTCTGTAAACCAGGCATATTCCATTTGGGGTGTGTGTGTGTGTGTGTGAGTGTGTGTGTGTGTGTGTGTGTGTAAACTTTATTCTTTTTTTGATAAAACAATAGCTATTCAGAATACCTGTGGTATGAAACCTTCATGGGGATGAAACAGGAAAGAAAAACATCAAAAAAGGTTTCTAGGTAAGGAATGATTAATAAAAGGCTAAGAACACTTTTCTAATTTCCCAACTACAAATGGGTCTTCACACTCATCTGAAAGGACTCTTCAGATATAGCTATATTATAATCTATAAAGAATGAAACTGGGAATAAAATAATCCAAACTGAGCAACTGCCAGGAATGTATAATTAACATAAAGATTCAAACACACACACACCACTGTCATTTGATGATCGATTGTGTTAATAAAACAATTTTCTTCTTACTAGTCATTTTACCTCTGAATACCTAACATCCAAAGAGTAAAGAAAGGTAAAGTAAAAAAATAAATTCAAAGGAGTATAAATGCAGCAAAAATACAAACCTAAAATGCCAATTTCAAGACCCGCCAGGTCTGTTTTAATTTTATCATAAATATCTTCTGATGTAAAGTCAACAGCAATGGTCCTTGTCTCCACTTTGAATTTTTCTTCTAGAAAAAAACAAAACATACACACAAATGAGGAAAGATAGGGAAAATTAATGCATAGCAATTAAGATTAGAGCATTTGATAGCATTATTCTTTCATTCTCTTTTTTCCTCCCAATCTGATATGACATTTAGACCAGGATAATTTAAGCAATCATGAGACCATCTAAAAGATGCTATACAGTCAACACAATAGTTCAGCAATTAAAAATTCCAGTGTCGTCACAGACCCTGCTGATGTTCCTTAATCAGTTCTCCTTTTATATATCAATAATGAAAACTACTTTTTAGACCCTTAGGTACAAATAATAAAACATGATTCATATCATAATGTTATATACGCTTTAAATATCACTGGCTTTGTGATTTTAATTGCAAATTGATGCTTTATAATTTCAAGAGGAAGTCTTTATGTCATAAAATATCTTAAAGTGTGATATATTAAAACAAAAAGTCCATCTTATTAAAATGGAAATAAAATGAATATGATCTTATTGTAATTTTGGAGCTTGGTTAACAGTAAATAGCCACTACATTTTAAAACCACACAAAATACAGAGTAATAAATCTCTAAAATGACATGAGAAAGACCTCAGTGTTCTCCTTTGCACAGGACTATTAAAGTCCAAACAGAGCTGAAGGAAATAACAGCTTCAGAAATGAGACCCTAGAGAAACAAAAACTCATCTGAGGTAAGGTATAATGTTTACTTCTGCCTTCACAAGTCAGCCCCCTTGAAGAGAGAGAGTGGGCTTTGAGGTCACCCAGACATCGGTTCCAATTTTATTTCCAACTTATTTGCAAAACGACTTTAAGCAAGTCACATGTCCTTCTTGAGCCTCAGCATCCTCTTGTGAAAATGAAAGTACCACCCCCAAATTAGAATGTGGGGCTGAAGTGATACAGTGGACAAACAGAAGGAATCCCATAAACACGGGTCCCCCTTTCCCATCAATCCCCAGCCTTCCTCCCTACAAATGTTATTCTTTGAAACCTGCTGAAAATTCAAAAGAATTAATTTTAAAATCCTGCTTCCAAAAATAAATCTTTCTTCAGTCAAAGTCAATGTCAGCTCATCACAGAATTTGCAGGATTAATCCTCATAGGAAGTATCCATTCTTGACCTAAATGGATTTATGTCTAAAACTAAAGAGCTGGTTCAGGAGAAACTGGATTCTTGGTTAGACTCAATGAAAAGTATTGACCTTAGGTAAAAATTCATGCATAAATTGAAGAGAAGAAAAATCAACTAAGAAAATACCTTGTTTGGTGTTAAAGGTATTCTTCGTGTTGCAGTATACATGAGGTATATGTGTGTTTACATAATGAAGAGTTAGGCACAGAGTTGTTATTTCACTAGAGCTCAGAGCACATCTTACTAGAAATGACTCAAGAGAACTTACCACCAGTAACTAAAGAACACTAACTCTTTTACAGCTCAAGATTCACATGAGGGGACCCAAAACAAAAAGCTGAAGGATACTTTTTGCTGTATGTAAAAAATTATTCAAGTATAAAATAAGATAAATTGACTTATTTATTTTAAAAAACAAAGTATTTTTCTGTACTAGCGTTAGGTTCAGGAAAGTCTCTCTGTAGTAATAAAAGTAATCCCACAATCCCTGTGTCAGATTCATTCTTCTAGAGCTTACAGGACTTGCTGAGTGTCCTTGTACTACTGTAGTCCTGTGCAGATATGCTTCTGAAAACAATTCAACAACACTCTTGGAAAGAATGTTATTTAATAATAAATGCCCATGGAAGCTTTCTTTATATTCACATTAGGACAAGTAAACGATTTCTGGAGTAAGTTTTTCGGAAGTTTAAAAATTTGAACTTATACATGGATTCCAAAGAGTCCTGTTCTGGCCCAGTCAACACTGCTTTTTTCTTCTTTACTTTTCTTCATTGTCTCTGACTACGGGCCTTTTCCTTTTTCAACATAGGTCAGATAATATCAGTCCCCTCCTCACACACCATCTCACTCAGAGTAAGAGCCGCAGTCTTTGGTCTCAGCCTAACGCTTCTCGGATCCCATTTCCAACTGCTCTAGTTGCTCTCCAGTTCCAACAATGGTGGCTGCTCACACTCCTAAACACAGAATATGCTCCAAAGGCCCTTGGGGTGCTGACACCTACTATTCCCTGTCTGGAGTGCTCTTCTGCATCCCTTGTCTCTGTTGAGTCCTTGAGCAAATGCTACCTTCTCAGAGAAGCCTTGTTTGACCACCATTTTGAAGATGCCTCTTCAGAAGAATCCAACGAACTCCCCTCGTTTCCTTTCTGAGAATCATAATATGTGCATGCTCTTGACGAGGCCCTTGGATGGGTTGTGAGGTTTTCATGACCTGACCCCACACCCACCATAAAGTTGTATGGGGCAAAAATAGCAGCACACATATGTAAGAATAGAAGAGGAACAGTTCTCTCTGGGCCCAGGCTATCAGACAAGAATTATGACAAGTACTCCAAAAGGCTGGCTTTTAGGATAAAATGGGTGGCTTCCTTAGGAATTAGGGAAGTGATTTAAGGGTACACATCTTTCCCCTTCCCACAGCCTACCACTCTGCCTCTTATTATCCCAATAGAATGTCAGACTAATGGACAATGATCTGACTACACATGGGTGTAGTAAGCACCAGACACACATGGTACAGAGTAAGTTGTATGGCCATCTTCACAACCTTCCAAGCCAAGGTTTTTCACAAGACCCAACCCAGCAACAGCTCTTGTAGGGAAGAATGAGCACTTCATCAAAGCCTTCAGAGTGGGTGCTTCTGGGTGCTCACATCCTTGCCTATCACAAAGGCCCAAAGAATGACATAGCCTCTGGGCAAGTCTTTTTCCCAGAGTAGAAGCAGTAATAAGATACAGTCAACACCCTACAGGTGTGCAGGATAAAGATACACAAACAGAATTTGGAGGCTTCAACAGACATAATATGAGCCATTTAAATGCTGGCAAGGAAACTTTTGTTGCCAAAACTGTGAGAATGTGATCAGCCAGCAATTTGGGGGTATTATTCCTTTGGGAATTGCTTCACCCAAGAACCTGCCCTTCCAGTGGTGGGTCAATGACTTATCGCCACGAGGATGTAAAATCACCGGACAGCTGTACCTTCCAGGTTCTGATTCCAGAAATAGAGTCTGTTTATTATCTTATTAATTTTAGGTATGAGTTTTAAGACAGGGTTTAATATTTCTAGTAGTGAAGTCTCCTTTATTGATCTTCTTTTACAAAAATTTACTGTTTTTTCTCACCTGTTTAGTCTGTTTCTATTGGGTCTGCATTAAGCACTTCAATTAAATTTGTGAAGAATGACAATGTGGCATTCCCTCTAGGCTCTCTATTTATTCAAACATTGTATAATTGTCTGACAGTAAAATCTGTAGTTCTTAAAGACAATACAGAATTAACGAATCCATTGAGCTGGGGATGTAGCTCAGTGGTAGAGCCTCAAGCCATTCCATTACCTATAATCATGGATATTCTATTTCCACAGTCACATTGCTATTTTAGATTCAGAGTATTCTGAATTAGTTCAAAGAGTCTGCAATTGACAGGAAAGGAACTGTACCCACAAGTAGTCTCAAGATGCTGCTGAAACACCCCTAAGTATTAAAATTAACACAGGTTTAGGTTCAAATCAATAGAGGTAATAAACACATTCAGAAGAGCATCATATTGTACCTCAGCCAGAATTAGCCGGGCAGTCAGTATAGATAGATAAATCGAGTCAGGTTGGATCAAGGAGGCCAATTTTGAGTGAGTCTAGGAAGTTGGAGACTGTCCCCTGAGGGACTGAAATGTTAATTCCTTCAGAGCCCTTCCTCCACCCTTATCAAGAACCTGCACCTGCTCCGACCTGTAGCTAAGGTAACCTGTCCCAGGAACTGCCCCTCCACACCACACTGGGAGCTATAAGGTTGTTGATGTGTCCTACTCCATCCTGCCCTTCCCCCTTCAGCCCGCCAGTTTCCCACTCTGGGCCCTCCCACCCAGCATTCCTGGGCCTAGTCACATACACAAGAAGGAGAAAGATAAGGGGGAAAGGCAGGAGAGCAAAGGAAGCCTGGGACCTATAAAAAGGGCAGAACACCTCGCTTCTTGGGATACCAGGATACCAGCTAATGCTTCTCCCTCGCAGAAGTCTGTGTTCCCCCTTTTTAAATAAACCCTGCTTTATATGCTTGCCTCGGTGGGCTTCTCTAATGTTCAAACTTCAACATGTCACCGATAGCCACGGTGTCAATATTCAACTCAACACACTTCTAGTTCTGGCCATCCTTTTTTTTTTTTCACTTTGCTCAACAAACTGGCCCCTCCTTTGAAATTTAACAGTCTTCCTCTAAGACTATTCATAGACTTTGGAAAAACTTTCCTCGAATAACTCCCCTGAGTGACTGAGGATACTGTGAAAATGCCCGAAAATAAGTCTTATCTATATAAATTTGGGTATAAATTTTTCTAGCTATATAAACCAAAAAGAGTATACTGATTCTCCTTTACCCTACCTCTGCTCCAAATAAACAGCCATTTCTCCTAAGTTTCAGGTTTCATCATTATAAAATTCTATTGCAGTCACCCTTTCCCACCTTGCCTTGTTTAAGATTCAAGTGGTGCCTCTGCCTGTGTGGACAATTTTTTAATGATCCATTTCCTCCAAGGAAAAGCTCCTTAGTCTCTTGGGGACATTCTTGGAGACCTTTTATGTAACCCTATAAGGAGCCTGCCATAATGTATGAAATAAAGAGTCCCAATTTCCTAACAAACAGTGATCATTCTTTGTCATCTTTGTCACTCTTATATTTCCAGCACCTAGCACAATGCCTGGCATAAACCGAAGGCCTCTCTGCTAATAAATGAGTAAAAACATTTAGACCAATACAGCTGATTTATTAAAACCACTTTTTTGGTACTTGCTGAACTCTTCCCTTAGAAATAAAACCATATGCTGGCCAGGCGCGGCAGTGCACGCCTGTGATCCCAGCGGCTCAGGAGGCT